ATGCTGCTGTTGCTGCAGGTCCTGCTGCAGAAGGAGAACCAGTACTGTTGCTGCTGCATGCACCACCACCACTGCTGCTGCTGCTGTTGCTGTTGCTGTTGCTGTTGCTGCTGTTTGTTTTCTTGCTTCTTCCTAGTCGCTTGGACCCTCTACAGTTTTCCGGTGTACATACAAACTGTATAGTGTTGGTGGGTTTATATTCATATCCATGCTGCTGCAGCAGATGCTCAGCTAGCTGCTGCGGTGAGGCCTCAAAGGCGCAGCCACTGTCTGCATGCAGACAAGCGAGGGGTCTCCTAAGACAACGGTTTTCATGGTTTTGTATTTCGCTATACTTTGCGGTGTACGTACACCCCAGCCCAGCGAAACGACAGGGAACGTCGGTGAGGCATTGCGCTAACACCTCCAACGCCCTGCAACGAATATTCAACTCTGGTGATCTGCATGCGGGGCAGCAGCTCAGCCGCTGCTGGCAGCTGCAGCACAGCGTGTGCCCCTCTTTACACTGATATATTGGCGGCTGCATGCGCTCCATGCATACACCACACTCCAGCAACTCCAGAGCTACACTCGACTTTGAAACGCTGCTGCACTCTCCTCCTGCTGCTGCTGCTCCTGCTGCTGCTGCTGCTGCTGCTGCTGTTGCTGTTGCTGATGATGATGATGATGAGGATGATGATGCTGCGGGAGTAGATCCTCCTGACGCTGCTGCTGCTGCTGCTGCTTCTGAATCTGGTGATGCTGCCGCTGCTCCCACAGATGCTGCTGCTGCTGCTGCTGCTGCTGCTGCTGCTGCTGCTGTGCCTGCGGCTTCCATTAGTGTTGCATCGCCGCTCGCGCCAGAGAGCAACACCACATCTTGCTGTACAGCTGCGGCTTCGCTGGTGAGAGAAAAGTACGGCACGGGGGGGTGTACAGACACCCCAACTCCAGCAGGATCATTCACGCCTGCAGCAGCAGAAGCAGCAGCAGCAGCAGCAGCAGCAGCAGCAGCAGCAGTAGCTTCGCGCTGAGTTCCTCCTGCCTCTACACTGCGGCTCAGGCTCCCCCCTATACAATAAGGGATCCCTATTGCCGCTCCTCCCTCAGAAGCAGCGCCCACGTCTCCAAATATAGACGAGGGGTGAATGCTGCAGGAAGCAGCAGCAGCAGCAGCTGCTGCTGCTGCTGCTGCTGTTGCTGCTCCAATGCCAATTGAGCCTGCGGGAGAAGAAGTAGAAGGAACTGTTGACTCAGATATAGTGACAGGGTCCCAGTGAAGCCGCACTGCCTGGTGAGTTCGTTGGGGTGTATGCGCACCTACGTCACCAGAAGAAGAAGGATGAGACGCTTTGGGTGCATTCTGCTGCTCCTGCCGCTTCTCGCAGTACTCCTTCGAGTCTGTAGCAGACATTTTGCCTGTAGTATGGGTTGCAGAAAAAGCAGCAACGGGTGAGCGGTTGCTGCCGATGCAGCAGCACTAGCTGATATAGCTGCAGCAGCAGAAGCAGCTGCTGTTGTAGAAGATAAAGTAACAGGAGAGAAGTGAATGAATTCAAATATCTTGAAACGACAACAGGAGGACGTCCACCCAGTTCTGCATTGGTTTCGGGTGTCACTGCAGCCACCGAAGGCTAGCGGTGCACATGAGACGAATCCTGCGGGAAAGCGCGACCTTCAGAGGAATTTTAGAAGGTTTTTGCGCATTAAAATGAAACTTCTAACTTTTGATTCAAAAGAAGAAGAAGTGGAGCAAAGAAACACGACAGACGGCTCGGTCGGGGCTGAAAGCTGTTCATGACGCCAAACGCGGAATACTGAGCGATCTGGAGCTCACCTCGCGTAAGTTTTCAGGAAAGTTAGAAGATTCAAGCAATATAATACATTTTAAATAAATAAGATCAAGAAATACACGGAAAAACCCACCGGATCGCTCAGCTTTCCGCCGATTGAGTGACACCTGCGAACGCCCCCGCCGCCGAAGCGGGGGGCGCTGGTGGTCTTTGTACTTGCATCAAATAGAGGAAAAGGTTTCGAGAAAGCAAAGTAATGTATTTCTTTATTGAAATATTTAATCCATTTGCTTCAGCCTACCGCAGGAGGCACATTACTGCCTTCGGCAGTGCGACTCTATTGACGCGCTTTTTCTGCATTGGCAACACTGGCGGGATTGGGGTGTATCTACAGTTATTTATGCACTAGTTGCACTTGTTTTTCAGGGTTTATTTAGTTTATTGTTTCTTCTTTCTCCTCTTGGTTTCGTCGTTAACACTGTTTCTCTACCAACCACCAATCTAATACTTTATCTTATACATGAATATTCAGAAACCGCAGACACTCCACGCGCCCCCGTGACCTCAGCATACACCCCAACTGCAGCAATCATGCTGCTGCCAGCTGAAGTTATAGCGGCGCTGCTGGCTACATTCACAGCTACGCGAATCACTCAACATTGCCGCCTCGCTCACAGCATCGTGCGGAGGTGAGGGTTTAGGGTTTAGGGTTTAGGATTTAGGGTTTAGGGTTTAGGGTTTCGTTTTGTTGTTAGCTTCTTGTTCTAATATATATATAGCAGCTGTATGGGTGGTTTTGTGCATATGCACCTCTTCTTGTCTCTCTTTCCTTCTTCACTGCCACCCATCATTCTTTTTCTTTCTTTAGGGTTTAGGGTTTAGGGTTTAGGGTTTAGGGTTTAGCTCTGCTCTCGCCTCAGCTCTGATAGTTTTTCTGCTCCTTTTCTCCTCCTCTTCGTTGTCTTCTTTTGTTGTTTGCTTTCTTCTCTAAGCCGTATATTTTA